AGGCTCCCGGTCCGCTGGAGGGGAGCCGGATCAGGTCAGCCCCAGGGACTTACCCGAGAGCTGATAGCAGGGAAGAGGGGAAGGAGGCGGACACCCCCCCAGACGCAGGCGCCGGGCGCCTCCCCAACTCACCAGAGCTCTCCCTAAGCCTCCCCCGGCCCCGCTCGCCCTGTGCAGCTGCCCCCAGCTCCAGCACCTCCCCTGAAGCCTGTACCGTAGCCCCAGGCCACCCCCAAGCCCTATAGTGAAGGCTGCAAGCTGGCCCTCGAAAGTGCGTGATTCTCCCTTATCGCGGGTGCCGTTAGCAGCAGTGCGGGGAAGGAGCGGCGCCCCCAGAAGCCCCCGCAGAAAGAGGGGATTCGGCCAGGGGCGATCTACGGTAGTAACGGTAGCTGCTGCTTCTTTCCTTCTCCTAGAGGCCACGCTGAGGATGTGGTTTTCCGTTTGTCCCCTGGGGATGCTGTTGACTGCACTCACCTCAGGCTTGCGTGGGTTGTCTCTGCCTGGCCTCGCTCTCGCAGCGTGGGGGTGAAAAGGGACAGGCGGAGCGCTTACTGGCTGTGGACAGGAGCTGCCGCGGCTGAAGTTGGAGGGGCTAGAGAAAGGTAAAGAAGAAGAAATCGAAGGCCGGCCGGCTGGCAGCTGCCTCCCGCTGCAGGCAAGAGAGAGCCTGCCTCTCCAGGTGAGGAAGGATACCTCTTCGTAGTCCGCAGCAGGTCATGCTGCCAACGTGCACCGCAGGATCTGTATGTGTCACTAGCAGCATGGTACGGCCGCGTAGTGCGCGAGCGAGCGAGGCTATGTGTCTAGGAAGCCTCGTCTTGTAAGACTGTAAGACACTCACGTATTCTCTTAGGTGGAGGACAGCCAAGCGACCAGAGTTACAGAAGAGGAAGGGAGGAGGGAAGGAGAAAGAAGCGTCCGAACTGGCAAATTCTCCTGGCAGCGCCGAGAGCGAGCGCTGCGGTGAGTCCTGGGCCCTCCCTGCCCCTCCCCTGGCCCCCCCTCTTTCCCACGCTGCTGTGATTTTTATTTCTTTATTTCTTTATTTCTCAATTTTCCCTTTGTCCTGGTCCCTGTCCTTTTTCTCTCTCTGTCTGTGTCCTGTGCCCTGTTACCGTCTTTAACCCTTCTTTCTTCTTCCTTTCCTGACCCCGCAATCTCTCTATCCCTCTGTCCCTCTCACCGACCCGACATTTTCTTGCTCGCTCTCTCTGCAGGGCTCCTCGTCCCTATTTTTCTTGATTTCTCTACCTCTCTGACCTTTTCTTTCGACCTTTCTTTCTCTCTCTGCTCCTCTGTCTTCTCCCTTGTCTTATTTTTCTCTTTCTAGTCTTCTGTCCTGCTCCTCATCACTGTATTTTCTTTCTTCATTTCTCTGCCC